AAAGCATTTGTGTAAACTCGAAAGAACATCACTTAATTACGATTTTTAGTCTGCTGCCATAGTGAGTTTTGTTTTTTAAGTATTGTTTTAAATTCATGTTCCTACTCTAAAAAGTTAATTTAAAAAATCACTCATACGCAGTGTGGCTTCTGGTAATCTGTAATTCTGTATACAAAACTCAGGTTCACTTTTGAGAACCCGAGTGGGTTGTCATTCAAATAGCATCAGGAACGTCGACTGAAAGCCACGAACATGTTAATTAACGAATGGTTCCAGCTTTTCTGCCAAACCCAGGTTTCTACCAATTACCAAAATTGCATCTGTCGATGGTAAAATTTCTCGATTTTTGTCACACGTGATGGGAAGTTTAACCATTTATCCAAAGTGTAGCAGTTGCCACAGATCGAATGTCCATTGTTGGACATGTTGCAGGAGGTAGCCCACAGAATATAATCCAGATAGTTTCTCAAATTTTCAAAGCCTCAAATGCGTGCTGGTTGAATGTGCTTTCATTTGGATAAACTTTTGGTGTGGCAAACTCCATGTTATTCCGGAGCTTACATTCGGTTGAGATGCATTTAATTCTGCAATTTAGAGTTTAAATATAAAATTTAAGCGGGGAAACCACACAAAATATATTAGGAAAGGGAATTTATTTAAATGAAACAAATAATTTAGAAAAAATTACTATGTTACTTATTTGATTTTCTTCTTCAGTAAATTTAATCGTCTCAATTAGCAATGCCCTTTTTGTGCAACCTTTAATTATTCATATCTGCCTTCGTAATGAGCGCAAATACATGATAAATTATGCAGGGGTGTTCAGAAAGCTCCAGCTCCATGAATGCCAAGTCAGGTTGGCAAATCTGCTTCCCAGGCAATTTGGCCAACATTTGCAGCTGCTGCAGCCGCTGCATCAGAATTTGCATTAGCTCCGCCCCAAAGGAGGCAGCCGCTGTGATTCGATCTTGGTCCGGGATGCCGCCTTCAACTTATGGCCCATCAGAATGCAGTTTTTTATGCGGTGCATGTTGCACGTCATGTCGGCCATGTTGCAGCTGAGCCAGTGGCGCCCCACTGATTTATGACCTCCGGGCGTTTATTTGCTAGCCGTGCCCAGTTCGTAGCCGAAAGTTGCCGCGCCGAGATTTATGTGTGCAGTGCAAGACAAACCGCACGCAGCTTCTCAAGTCGGTGAATAAACTGCACTAATAAGTTGCCGTTGAGCTTAAGGCAAGTGGCCAAATTCCGGGGCTGCCAGAAATGCCACAGAATCCAAGGCAATAGACAAAACAAATGTTGGCAAAAGTTCACAAAGTTTTCCAGGGCAGGGCAGGGAAAGGGGCACGAGGCATGCGGCATAAATCGTTTTATTGAGCTCCGCGTCAGGCAGAAAGTTGCAACACCAAGACAGCAATTTGCCAGGGCAACACTAGAAGAGGGATAAACAGGGATAAAATGGGGCAACAATAAAGCATGAAACTTTTCCAAACCCAAGCCCCGAAAAGAAATTGGCAACAGAAGGCACCGCTCAAAAGTCGTTCGTTTCCTCGTTCGTGGCCAGGCCAATTGTTAATGGCTAATTATTTGGAGCTAACGTTTTTCCAATACTATGCCTATGGGGGGGGGGGGGGCAAAAAAAAAAAAAAAAAACCGAAGACAAAAACCAAACGCTTCTTGGCACATTTCACACTGGAGGGACACAAGAAATTCACATAAATTTTACTTAGCCAAGTTGCAAAGAGTTTCGACTGCCAAGTGGCAGCGCAAGAAGTCAAAAGAAGTGCAAAGAGCGATAACAACAATAAGTTGCCAGCATTGCTCGAATGCACAATGCAAGTGGCGATAGTTTGCCATAGTTTTGCCATTGCCAATCCCTCGATTTACCCCCCAAATATACCCGCCCGTGGTACTGATGAAGCACCCAATGGATTGGGCATAAGAAGGTTTTGGTTTGGATCAGTGATGGGAAGAATCTACTGAGGTGTAGTCTAAAACATTCTTGGTTACTTGGTACTCTAGGTTTTTTTAACTTTTCTTACCTTACCTTACCTGTATACTAAGATTTTAAATCAAAACTAACCAACATTTCAGGTTGCAAAGTTGTATAATATTTCCCTTTTTACTATCGTTTTTAGTAAGTTTCCTGATTTCCCAGCACCCATACATTTTGTGAGTTGAACCTTTGCCACCACTAGGTGATATCCTTTTAATGTCAGGCCAAATGGGAAGCCGCCAGCGAAATTTATGCGAGTTTAACAAGCAGCTAGCAGTAGCAAGGTTCCGTTACAGTTTCTTGCAGCAAATAGGCATAAATTTGCATTTAATGTAGTCGACAAAAACCCGTTAGCAACAGCAGCTGCAAAAGGATAGAAAAGAGCAGTGCAAATGCCAAAAAAAAAAATATAATTCTGCTATTTAGTATATAATTTCCTGGAATAGTCTTGCTGCCAGTGTGTGGTGTTTGTCGGTTTTTTGAACCGGGTCCGGTCTGCAGTCGCCAGGTGCCATTAAAGCCGCATAAATTTTTTAAACTTTCGCCAATTTGCATTGCAAATGCCCCGCCCTGGCTAATATACACACTCACACGTTTGTATTTTCGCGTTCTGCATGTGGCTCCAAAAGCGTTTGGGTCAGTCTATTAAAATGCAAAGAGCCGTCGCTCTCTCTCTCTCTCTCTCGCTCTTTTCGCCGGCCGGAAGTCCATTTTGTCTTGTCGTTCACATCATAAATATGGCCGGCAGCAAATGGCGGCTCTGTTTATGGCTAAGTCCCGTCTGTGTGTCTCTGGCTCTGTGTATGTGTATGTGTGTTCTTGCCGCTTTTAATGACAATTTGTTGAGGTTTGCATAAAAATTTCAACGAATTTCATTTGACACACATTCACCACCACTCGACTCGTTCGTTCGCCTTCGTTTTTTTACATCCTTCGGCGGCATAAATTTAAATAATTTTCCCTTTTGACGCTTTCGTTTACAACACTCGAGCGAAATGGTGTGTGGATTGAATCGGCCTCTGTGTCTGTGTTTGTGGTTTATGACAGGTTCTTTGGCATTTTACGACAGAGTGTCGTGTTGACAGAGTTTCCACTGCCACTGCCGGTCAATTGTCTGGCCTTCTCGGCTTCAGCCATCAGGCGTGTCATTAAAATTTCAATCAATCTAATCATTATCAATATGGTTTCCATTTGCCACTCCACCAGCCACAATTCCGAATGTCTTATTCATGCGCCCGGGGTTATGCAATGATAAATTCATGTCCAGCCCAAAAATTCTGCAATACTGTGTCCCGGAAATCAATATATATTCTTGTATGTTTATAACGCTTTCGATATCAAAGCCAGCTTTTAAAATATGCTAGTTAAAGTCCTCAAAAAATGACAGTCATATAATTGCCCCGACACTTTTATTTTTGCAGTGTTTCACTGGTTGGTTTCCCTTTTGGTTTATTATTTTCCACACGGGTGCTTCGACATGACGAAATTTACTAGCCCAAAAATAAGAAAAACAAATAAATAAAAGGGAATACAATACCAGGAGATGGAGAACGAAGACATCGACAAAGTTGTCCACGCTCCACACTCGCTCTCTTGCAGCTTGTCACTTAAAGCGAAAAACAATTTTTCTCCAGTCTCCAGGAGAGGACGATGAAGTGTACGTGTATGTGAGGAGCTATCTGAAAACCAATTTTCGTTGCTAAATTGATGTTTATAGCTATGTAGGAGCACGCTGACGACAGCGATGAGAATGATGACGATGACGATGACGATGGCGTCGCCGATGACGATGATGCGGCCTTCGATGGCTATGATGAGCTTGTTGCGGCCACCGCTCGTCGCCCCTGATGAAGACAAAGTGCCAATGCGAAAAACTAAACGCCAAGCTCCCGAACAAGTCAAGCCAAAAAGCAAGCCAAGCAGGTGCACAGCGAGAAAGTGTCACCGAAATATATACTCTTTTATAACCAACTAGATCCCGCTTTTGTAAGAATCTTTTAAGTAACTTTACTTTCAATTTCCCTCAGTGTGTTGCAAGTGGAAGTCGCTCAGAGAATGCGGCAATGAAAATCCTTTTTGACGCAACTCGAATCAACTGTAGTCGAGAGAGCCCTCTCCCCCATCTCTCCGCGTCCATTTGACAGCATTTTGATGCTTCCGCTTGTAATTTATGTGACACTTGCAGTGCCATAGATCAGGCTGCGGGGCAAGTCATGAGACTGCTAGTTTTCTGCTGCCATATCCTCGTTTTTATTAGGTCCTCGCTACTGCTTCGGCTGACACTTGATTTCCTTGGGCAAATTTGATCAATTGAAACGGGCGATAAGCGTGGTGAAAATGGCAGGTAATCCGCGTGCATCACAGTTAATTAGATGCGATGGGAAGTGCACATAAATAAACAATTAGTGGTGGCTGTAGATAACCGAGCGTGCACCTGCAACTGCTGCACATTAATTGAAGCTCACTCGCACGGGGCTGACTGAGTCATCACATTCACCCTCAACACTGTGAGTAATTTAAAACGATTCGCTGCGCTCCTTCGGTCCTCCCCATGAATGCATTTGAAATGCTTTTCTCAAGCTCCTGCCATCCCATCCCTGTGGGTGTTGTGGCGTGGAGTGCATCTGCCGCAGCCACCATTATCCTGGGCATATGTCTGAGTCGGATCAAAGCCATAATGCTGGCTGAGTACTGTGAGTACTGTGCGTGTGCGGATGACAGCGATATTAGGGCCAATTACATGTCCAATTCTGCCGGAGAGTAGTAGCATACCGACAAGTGCTTCTATGACATATTGCCGAAAGTCTAATGCTGCGGTTAGAAACCACTAACCACTACCTTTCCATCTATTGGAAACTGGGACTATTTTCAGATAAAAACTAATTATAATTGACAGCAAGCTGTATTTTAGCTTATTTACTAATTGCTGTATTAATATATTTTAATTGAGGTTTATTGATATTATCACCATAGGGATTTTCAACTGTATTTTATTTCTTGTTGACAATTTAATTAGCTAATTTCGCATGCTGTTCTTGGATTTTTGTTTACACTAAATTGTGGCACTTCTCACATTCATGAGTCAGACAGACAGACACAGCTGCCTCGAACGATGTCAGTTCTTTCCATAATGTTTAAACAGCCGTCGAGTTCAATTAGATTCAGGGTCACAGCGTACAATCGGCTCGAAAGCAAGCCACAAAACTGAAATGTATCCGCGTTTCGTTAGACATTTGATCGCCTCTATTAGCCGCTTGAAGACAGAAATAAAATACTCAGTTGACTGGTGTCCGACATGAATCTGCTAATCTGGATGTGCCTTGCCGTCTCCCTGGTCAGTGTCAGTGGCATTTTCTTCGATTCGAAAGCTACGACGGGAAAGCAGGGCTCTGACGACGATGATTTTATGGGCGGACTAAAGCAATTCTTTGGATATAATGCAGACACGAACACAAGCCGTCACAACAAAACATCACAGAAGGAATCAACAGAATCGTCATCGGGCTTTTACGATGAGGTGGACACGGCACTCGAACATGCAACAGACTCGATGGACGGTCTATGGCAGCAATTTAAAAAGGTAAAACAAACTAAGCAGAAGGGGAAAAAATGTAAAGCATTGGATATTTTACAGAGAAAGAAATAGGAATGGTTTAAGCTTGAACTTTGTATAGCCTTACCAGATGGGTTTAATATGGTGATCGGTGATGGGTTAGTAACTCATTCTAGTTCCTATTTGAACTTGTGGATTGTCTTCAATGGTTCTCTAGACTTTCATCTATAGGAACCTCTTATAAATCACCCATTTTGTGTTCTCTCTCTGTAGGGCCTCTTCAGTCTAATGGGCAGTTTCAGTGCCGGCGATGAGGATGATGATGGACTCAATGCATCAATAACACCGGCTCCAGGCCTGCAGCAAATGAAGCCAATTGCAAACCCAACGTTGGCTGTAAGCGAGACAACCTTGCCACCAACCGGAACACCGACAACGGTTAGAATAATAACTGCTACTACAACGCCGGCGATTCCGACTACAACTTCGGGAACTGCATCGACAGTGGAAACAACTACAGTTGTAAATATAGTCAGCAGTTCTACTAGCAGCAGTACCTTGGCTCCATGATAAGAAATTGTGTCGCTTAACCTTCTGTCATTATTTGCTCCTCAACTGGCTTGTGCATGTATTTATACAACGGGAATGTAAATAACATATAAGTGTCTTCCCAAAACAACAACGTATTCCGCTGATGTTTTCTTTGTGACAGTGTTTACGCAAATGTCAGTAAATGTTTGGGTCGGCAGAGAAAGTGTGTATTAAGATTATATCTCATCATTCGTTAACTGGCAATGTTGTGGCTCAGTAGATCCCTGTCTATCCTTTTTCTGACGATCCAGTTCCTGGACTTTGTCCACCCAGCTCCCTCCGAGGGGAATCTGCAATTTGTTTTAACATTGGACAGGCCGTCTGATCTTCCCGAGCTGCAATATCGCCTCCTGCAGGCACAACAGGAACAGGATGGTGAGTTGTAAAAGGATTTGTAATATAACAATGAGATTGACTCAATGTTCTCTAGATCTGGAAGTTATTCGAATGCAGTTGATGCAGCTAAATTTGCTAAAACTGCTAATAGTCCTGGATGTCTTTATCCTAATTTGTGTATACTTTTCTGGCAGAGAAGTTCGAAACCAGAAAGTTATAACCTTGTGATTTTTCAGTGGACTTTGTATTTTTTATATAAATTATTTGATTACATTATAAATATTATATTATATGTTTACTTAAAGCTTGGGGATTCTTTGAAATGCATTGTTATAGGTTTTAATTAAATTTCATTTTTAGTGGGTATTATAATATTATAATATATATAATATATTATAATTATAATTAATATATAATTGATCAGAGCTTGTTTTTTTCTATAGCTCATTAGTGCCCAATATATATCAACACACACTTGGCTTTTAGAAAATATAAACTCTATTCTATTAGCTGCAATCTCTTTAATAAAAATCCATTCATGGCCAGTTTTAAACACACACTCTTATTGAATAATTATGAGCCAATTCACGCCTGGCGGTCTACAGTTTGTTTAGCTCTGTGGATGCACTCCACAAAAGCCGGGTTTCCCCCAAACACTTCCCGTTCCCCCTCCTAAACCATATTGAATGCATCGTTAAATATCGACAACAGTTGGCTGCCTCTATTCGGTTGTTTGCTGTTTGAACTTTTAGTTCATAAATATTAACAGCTATTAAAGAACGCGCGGCACACACATATAACCCGTTCAAACGGTCTAAAAATTAATTTTAAATTTTAAAACTAACTGCATGCAATTTACGCGCAATTTGACCAAGGCTCGTGTGTGCATTTCAGCGAATTCTGTGGTGCCTGGAAAAAGGTATCATCAGGTGGTTGCGGGCCCAGTGTGTTTTTGAGTGGCGGCTCAGCCCAAATGTTCATTTAATTAAAAGCGGAAATTGAGCAAGTGAGCAACTGAGGAAGTGAGGAACTGAGCCGGCCAAGTGACCAAAGCAACAACGACCCAACCGTGGCCAAGTGTCCTAAAGTGGCTGGGATACTTGCAACTTTTTTTCTTAAGTCGGTAGGAAATATTAAAAACGGAAAACACTTTGGGGCAACTAAATCCCTTTCCCCTAACGTCCCGTCTTCTTCCACTTCCCTGCACTCGGGCTGTCCTTTGCCATGTTTTCCTATTATTTTATACACACTTTTTTTGGCAGCTTTCTTGGGCTCAAGTCTTGGCAGAAGGGCGTTGAGCTGAGTTGTGTGGAAACTCGACAGTGGAGTGGAAGTCGAGTGCTCGGGAAAAAGGAAGCAAGGCGGCGCAATTAGCAAGTTTACTGCATGAAATTATGAAACGCTTAATAAAAGCATGCTGGGAGAGAAGCAAAAATAAAAAAAATTAAATAAAAAGGGTCGAAAGGAGTATTCCTGCAATATATTAAAACACAGGGCTTCACAAGTGCCAGCAAGTTAATTAAAAGGCTCGCATATTTGAAAAGTTTTAGCCCCGGCTCTGGCATCGCCATCACCATCACCATCACCAACACCATTTCCATGGCCATCACCATTACGGCAACTGGTTCCGGATCCATCCGGGCCATCATCAGCATCGAGGCTGCAATTTAATCATGTAAGTGCTGGCAAATTGTTGGCTAAAATTAGAGCCAGACAAATATTGCGCATACGCCTAGTATTCGCGTTAAAAGGATGTTGCTGTCGGTGTCGCTGCCTCTGCCGCTTGGCCCTACTCATGTTGGGGCCGCTGTTGTTGCTGTTGCCAAGTTTTATGCTAATGGTTTTCGTTTAAAGCCAAAAGTAATTTATTGTTGTCAGCGGGCGCCATCAAAAATGTTGCTGCACATTCATTATGTCTACAATATATGTGGGTGTGCCATCCCTCCTCTTGCCCATTGTATGTATATACGTAAGGCTTGCCATGCATTAAAATTTTAGCCAAAAAACAAAGCCGCTTGTGAGCCGAAAAACTTGCTGCGAAATTAAGTTAGCCAAGGGGAAAAATGCAACCAAAATGGAATGGAGGATATACCACTAGCAAGCACATCTTGGATCCGCAAATGCTTAAATACCCCTAAACTCTATATTAAATTAGTTTTAGTAGAGCAAATTTCTCATCCAGTCCGCTCCGCATCCTTGGCAATTCTCGAAAATTCAAACAAATGTCGAGTGCTTAAGCCGGGGGCCAGCTTGTTTTGTGCGCAGAGCTACATTTAAATATTTTACTAGTCCCATTTTTATACCCGGTACTGGGAGGGTATATATTCATTTGATCACAGTTTGGCAATATCCAGAGCTCTTAATTTTAAGAATTCTTAAAGGATATTTAAATGGAATCTAATGAAAGTCAGGTGAGAGGTAATTAGGGTGAAGGATTTGCAGATGCATGACTTAGTAGAGTAACAAATTTGTTTTGATATCTAATATGCAATAAATTAATTAATGTTTTTAGGCAATCCTTTTAACGATCTAAAAGCTGGGCATTTTCATGGTCGTGGCACTATTTTCGAGCATTCTCAGTTCTTCTCTCTGCCATGTGACACGTTCGCGACCCAATGGCCCACTGGCCGCCTGGCAAACTATGCCAGAAGATAAAACAGCCGCGAACTTTGCAACATGTTTACGGTAAAAACGTGATTTTCGGCACAAAAAGCAGAGCCGGGGAGCTTGACCAAATGTGGTCCGGCGGTCCTCGAACCCTTTTGGCCAACTGTAAATAAGTTGAGTTAAGCGAAGAGGCACGCTCTCCACCGCCGTGGGGGCCCCAAGTGCCCCGCCACAGTCATAAAAATTAAACATTTGTAGCTTTGTCACGTTTGTGTTGACACTTTCTTATCACAGTCGGGCGGATTTGGGGGTGGCAGGGCGGTCTGTGGAGTAGTATGTTGTGGTGTGGCTTCCACTCCCTATCCTCATCCTCCCACTGCACGCCCTGTCGACCTGGCCTAAATATGTGCGTGTGCGTGTCAGCTTTGACTGCCGGTGCGACCCGCCTGACCCCAGTTGAAATAAAACTTCAGGTGAGTGGGTGTGGGAATGACACCGACCATCCCGGCATCCTGGCTGGCATCCTTGCATGCCATCCTGCCATCCAGCTATCCTTTTATGCCACCATCTACCAACCACTGAACCCACTCACACACATATGCTTTGCGATTTCATTAAAAGCGGCCAAGTGCGGCGACGTGTCGGACTGATTCCGAAATGCTGGAGTTTTGTGGCTAAGACTTAGCCGCATGCCAAATGGCAACTTGGCGGTTGCTAGTGCCAGTTTTTTTTTTTTTTTGGTGGCATAATTTGCGTTTTCTAATTAAATGCGATTAGGGAACGTGGACGCCACAACTGGTTGCCAACAGTGACAGGTGAGTTGTCTTTCTTAGTGGAATGGAGTCTCATCAAAGCGAGATTGAATGATGTCCCTTTAAAGTAAGGGAATTCTAAACATTTTTAACTGAGATAATTATTTAAAGCACATTTAATCACAAATTTTAAACTGTTAAAGTTAGAGTATTAAGTCAAAGTCTTGTAAAATTAATTCTAACTGAGATGAAGAGCATAATTATATTCCTTCCTCTTTGATTTAAAGTGTTAAGCTAGCCATTTGCATCACAAGTAAAAGCTAATACATTCTATAGACACAAATAAAGGCGATTTCCTCGGCATTACCACCTTCCTTTTCATGTTGTTGGAAGAAGGCTCTTTTAGGCCAATATATGCATGTTGCTTCATATTTTCTGGTCAGAGCCTGGGCCACAGGCCACGAATTGAGCACTCTATTTCGACCGAGACTCACTCTGGCCAAGGTTTTTGGGCTCCTAATGCGTTGCCAAGAGCTCCGGCTTGGGCCCGATAATTTCATTTGCATATTGTAGTATACCGGGGCACTGTTGCTCGCATGCTGAGATACATTTTGTGGCTGAAATTTATGACATGCCATTTGAGCTCGAGTTTCGAGTGGAGCAGCCCGCTGGGAGTTGGGAACTGGTTGCTGGTTTCTGAGAGCTTGTAACTGGGACTTGGCGTTGGCAACTTTTTTTTTGCCATGCAACTTTAATGAGTTGACGCACGGAGACCAGAAAACTTGGCACCCAAAGGCTTTAAATTGAAAAAGTTTAATGAGCATGCGTATTTGATTAAGGATGTGTCGTCGCACAGACACTATCCCTGCTCAGCCGTGGTTTCCTTTGTGCTCGAAGGCAATAATAAAAGGCTGCACACACGGTGCACTTTTATTGACAATTCCGCCTGGTTTTGGCACCTGATCTCTGAGAGCTGACACAGCGGGGTTGAAAGGGAGCGCCGCTGAAAAAGCGTATTTCATTTGAATTCCGCCTGGGGTTGGCTTTATCGGCGCAAAGTTTGAGGCTGCCCTGCTGCGACAAAGAAGTTGAGGCGAAAGTCCTGTGGCGTGGCAGTGCTTATTGCTAGCAATTCAATTAAATGCAGAGCTGCATGAAATACACTCTGAGCGGAGAGGACATGTGTGTGTGGGTGGCTATCCTGCTTTTGCTGGTTTTCAAATCGGAAATCCATAAAATGCATCACATGCCATCAAAGGCTCAAAAAGTTTTTTTCCTTCACTCTTCCCACACCTGGGCAGGATTGGCAAAGGTGCCAGGACATTTATTATTCGGCAGGCTCAATGCAGATTTTTGCGCTCTATCTGTCTCAATTGCAATCAAAGTTTCTGGTTTCTGCTATTCCGCTCAATTCTTTTCACAGTTTCGCTCTTCTTTTCCCCATTTTGTCACGCAAATTGCACAAAAGTTGAATTGACTTGCGCGGGAAATTAAGTTGATGGTTTCTCCTTGCCAAGTTCTGAGTCCGGACTCTGGAGTCCGGAGTCCGGAGTCCGGAGTCCGCAAGTCCCTGAGTCCGGAGTCCTGGTCTCCAGTTTCCCCTCGCAATTTCTTTGTCAGTTCGCGGTGGTGTTTGCTTTATTCGTCTTGCCGCCTTGCCAGCGATGTCATCTCCGGGTGCCTTGTACTTACTTATTTAACTTGCAATTTTGATGAAATTTCGCAAGCACATTAAAAAGTTTTCGGCTAGCTTGTAAGTGGCGCACTCGCCTGAAATAATAGCTCTGGCTTCTGGCAAGGATGCACTCTTTAATTGCAGCAGCTTAAGGAAATCAAAAGTGCACACAAAACACAGAGCGACCGAACACA